CGGTAAGCTCTTCTTCCATGGGCGGTTGGAGGTTCCTCTGGAACCACCAGAGCTCCGTACGACTTCAATCCGTCACGTTCACGCTCAACCTCAAGTTGCGCATGCTGGGAACAGTAATGTCAAGCTCCTCTTAGGCCGCAAATATCACTGGGCCGGAATGACGGCCGATATCACTCGTTATATCTCTAACTGCAGCTGTGCTCGTATGAAGGCGAGGAGAGATAAGACTCCTGATTTCCTCCACCCCCTACCAATCCCCGCGCGACCTTACCAGCATTTGACCATGGATTTCACGGAGCTACCGCTAGATGAGAACGGTTTTGACGCTGCTTTCGTGATCATGGACAGACTATCAAAGAAACCAGTCTCGATCCCCTGCCATAAGACCATCATGGCAAAGGAGATGGCGACGCTATTCGCTGTCCACTGGAGTCATCACTTTGGGATGCCAGACTCCATAGTCTCCGACCGCGGACCTCAGTTTGTATCAAGTTTCTGGAACAAATATTGTCGTATTCTCGGCACCAAGGTCAAGTTGACTACAGCATATAACCCCAACTTTGATGGCGAGACGGAAGTAATGAATCAGTATATCAAGCAGAGACTTCGTCCATTCTGTACCTACTACCAAGATAATTGGAGCTCTCCCTTACCGATTATGGATATTGCTCAGCTTACGCTACCTCACGAATCTCTTGGCAACTCGTCACCATTCCAACTACTCAATAGCTACGAGGCACGTGCATCGTGGGACTTACATAACCCTGAGCCTCCCGCTACTGCCACGGAGACCTTGAATCGAGAAGATGCTCTCTGCGTTGCAACTCGTATGAAGGATGCAATGGAATTCGCTAAATCCTCGCTTAAGATTCAACAGGAGAAGATGGAGCGGTTAGCTAATTGTAGCCGTCGGGAAGTCGATTGGGAAGTTGGAGACATGATTCTAGTCTCTACCGCAAACTGGAAAATGAGCAGGCCTTCACGTAAGCTTTCAGACAAGTGGTATGGCCCTGTTGAAGTACTAAAGAAGGTTGGGGAGAGCTGGGAGTTGAAGTTACCGGAAGAATGGAAAATCCATCCTGTATTTCACTCCCATTTGCTGCGGAAGTTCGTACAGGACCCACCACCAGGACAGGTTCGACAAGCCCCATCACCAATTCAACTACTCCCTGAGCAAGACAAATGGGAAATTGAGGGGATATTAAGCTCCCGAGTCTATTGCAACACTCTCCAGTACCAGATTCGATGGAAGGGCGCTGACAAAGACCTTAAATGGTACCCCTGCTCCGACGCTATGACAGCACCTCATATGATCAAGAGATTCCATATACGCTACCCAACAGCCAGGGGACCACCTAGACTACTCCCGAAGTGGCTAGAGGCGTACAACAATGGTATCAACAACTACTCCGAATTGGGAGACGATCACGCTATGACTGCAACTGCGCGGTCGCAGTTCTTCAGGAGGGGGGGTAATGTCACGATCCGTGAGAGCCGTATTGCATGCGTGTGGGGATATGGGTTAGCGCGCCTTGGCATCACGTTGGATGACTGAGCACAGCCGAGGAAGATATCTTAGAGAGGGTCGAGAGTAGCTACCTCTCTCTTCGTCTTTTATTGCCTTTACAAGCGTACCTCTTGATAGCAATATAATAACTTATACAACCTCCTTGACGTGCCGTAACAACATTCTGGGATTACCGGGAACGAGCAGGCGGACAAATTGGCTAAGGCAGCCCTGAGAGACCTCTTAGATATAAGGGGTGAGCGGATATACACCTTTTGTTATGGCTAGGCATCCTTGAGGCAAGTTCAAGGATAAGGTTCTAAGGAAAAGGTTCAAGGACAAGGGTTAAGGAGAAGGTTCTCGGGAAACAGATCTCGGGGAAGGTTCAATAACTAAGTTTCCGGGAAACTCGGAAAGCTAGAGTTAGACGGGCTGGAGTCATAACCTAATGATCCCAAAGCCTCAGTTGAAATTCATTACGTAGTCTAGTGTACTTAAGGAAGCTGGAGTTACCACGAAGTAGTTCTCCAGCTTCTCAATCTTATATCTCCATAGTCCGAAAATCGCACTCGTCTTTCTACTCGTCTTGATCTCTCGTCCTCCAGTCCCAGCTTCTAGTTCTTCAGTTTTGACCTCCTGGTATCTCGCCAGCTCATTCGACCACCCATCTCCAATCTTAGCAGACGGCAATCTTATCATCATCTGACCCTCGCCGTAACACCTTTGCAGCGCTGAGCCGGCTTGTCCGAGAGCAGGCCAAGGAAGCTGTGGAATCCTGGTGGCTTCAAAATTGACCAAGACAGTACGAAGAATTAGACCTTCTAATGAGACAAAAACGGCCACCCGAGCTTGGACTGCTGAGATGGGCATACCATCGTCTACTAGCAGCGAGGATAGGACGAGGGGACTTCAAGAGTTACCATTGTTGTAATCTAACGCTTTTCATCCTCGGACTTCATAGTGAGCAGTAGTTGTGTAGCAAGTGATGCCATGCGGGGGAGAAGGAACAGGAAGGCGAAAGCCGCTAGCCGGATCTAAGCGATCTGGCCCACTTGTAGATGGAGAAATCCCTTTTGTATATAGACAATACAACCCTAACTAGTACAACAACAATAGTAAGGAACTCATACATCGTGACCCATAAACCTCACTCTCATATCTATCACTCCACGACAAAGCTTCAACAACCATGACAGATTCGGGCATGAAAATATAGACTGTAGATACGTCTGTAGAAGAGAAAGACGTCCCAGGCACTTTGCAGAGTGCCGAACGGCTTTGCGACAATGGAGAATATCTAGACATGCACCACCACTAATAAGTCGAGTTATGTTAGCAGAAAACAGATGGGAGGAATTCTAAAAGTACATAACCGTAACGAGATGCTACACGGGGCAATCTTCACATTAAGAGGGCTAAAGCTTTCCGAGGGACTGAAATATTTTTAGCAGTTGAATATGCAAGTGGGCAAGGCGCAGGGCGTTTTTTGACTAGGCAGTTTTCTTAATTTCTACTTTTCATGTAATCCCTCGGCCTAGAAAGCTGGACAGATAGTTAGTAGTGAATCTTTAAGGATTACACACCCGTATCATGCCTCTTGGTTGTAGGGCTTTTGCCTGATACGAAATTTATACATACATGTATATACATACAACCACGTTCTGTAAAGACTTTTCGGACATTTCAGCACGACCTTCGGGAAGGATTTAGAATGAGGCTTGAAAGGTAGAGGGCGAATTCCCTGAATTACCCCCTAGTCTTCAGCGTCCAGCTGATCGGTATTTTTGTACATCTCAGAAGGGTCTCTATGTCTTCGAACTTAGTCCTAATGTTGTTGTTAGGAGAGCCCCGCACCCAGAGGTTTTTGTTATTTTTCCAGGCTGCCATACACCCGCAAATATTCTTAATAGCATTCGCTACAGAGGTGAACTAAAGTAGGGCAAAGAGCTTCACTTAGTGTAGGATCGAATGAGGACCTATGAGATTTATTATTGAGTGTGAACTATGTAGAACGCATAGGAGGAGATATACTACTCATTAAAGTGATTTTGGAATTTTGATAGAAAGACATGCTTTTCGAAATAGTCACAGACTGGTATAGGACAATAACAACTATCTACTACGCTGAATTGCTCGTGCCCTCCAAAATCTTGTGCACCTATGAGGTGGTTTTACCTCGACAAGTAGAAGTCAAGACTGAACACCTGTACGCGGTGTCCTCGACAAACCTGGGAGTGAAATATTTTCCCAGAGTCAAGTTCAGTTAAATTTCGCAATACCAAAGAAGTTGACCCATTAGGCAATGATTTAAAACTCCCCACCTAAACAATTTCTTTCATCCAATGTTATCGATCTCGATACAATGACCACATCTCTCATGGTCTTTTTTCTGGCCTTAACAGGCTACCAGATACACAACCACGCCGATAGAATAGAATAGAATATGTAAGCAGACCTATTTTAGTCTGGGTTTTCGCGCCAGTCCAAAAGCGAAAGTAAGATCTACGCGCACAGATGTTTGGCTACTGGCAATACTCAAGGGAGCGCACAAGGGGATACTCACGCAATATAGTCCTAGGCTCGACTCGTAGTAGTAGATAATACTATACCTTTACTCTTACATTCTTGACGATTCACGTGACATTTACACGAAGCCCCTCTAAGTTTTACAGAATAGAATTAAATTTAAGTCCCTACTGAGTCTATGACTTTGAAGGACTGCTAAATGTAGACATTAAATCACCAAAATTCACTTAATTTTATAAATACTGTTTTTTCAATCTCTTCCAATAGACAATGAGGGCTTAACCATGAGAACCGCGCCGATATTTATGCAAGGCGGAGGAATCAAAGCGTGACGCACAAATCTGGGAGCTAGTTCTTTGGAATGGCCGTGAGAGGAATCAGGACAAGTTGATAAGATGATACAAATGATGGATACTGTCTCAACGGGCGTGGTATTTTGAATATTGGCACGGAACTTTTACAAATTGAGCTTTGTGTGTGCCAACTAAAGCCTGGATGGCTTGGACACATATCCCATTCGAGACAGGAGATCACTGTTTTGAAACCGGCAAGACACAACCACATTTCTCGCGGCGCTAGTGTACATGGATGACGAAGGCATGCTTGGATAAACAAAGGGTTTGAAATTCTCTTTGGTGGGTACTTATGGAGGAGGGTCGACTGTTTGTGTAAGTGAACATACCTCATAGTGGTATTTGCATATGAAATCCAGAGTATGAGTGACTCTAACGTTAAAAGAATCATCCTACATGTAAACATTGCATCGGTCATGTGTCATAGATAGAAAGCTGTATATACAGTTAATGATTTAAAAACAAAGTGCATCCACAATCATTCCACTATGGAAGGGTATATCATGTGATGTAAGCGACCATAAGTAGTTAATTCTGATTGCTTAGATCCTCACCCGATAGCCCTATTATTTTCCCTTGCAAATAATTAACCATTATATACCACTTTGTACAAGATGGATCAATACGAGGAGTTTTTCGAGTACACCACCCGAAACCCTCTCAATCAAATACTTGCTCATCATAGATCGAGTTCAAACAATCAACTTGGATCAATGCGAGGTAAATCTTTCCGGTGTGAATAATAGGACAAGCTAACTATAAAGATGTGAAATTCATATTAAATGATCTTCAGATTCATATCATGGGATACCTTCAATTCACAGAGAGTCATGCCATAACATCTCTAGTTGGAAATCTGCACAATTTACAATCTAAAATATACAAAGAAGAAATTCAGCTATGTGAATTTGAGCGCTTGATCTATTTGGTCAAATTTGGAAGCGACCGTGATATCTGGTATCATACTATGCAAATTTCCGATATACTCACCCGCGAAGTTGCTCCAATACTTCCAGATTTGCAAATTCCGTTAACGCAAGAGAGGAGATCGACGACTACCATATTGCGGAGCGTCTCGGAAACAATAGGCTATGACGATACTAGAGGCTCCCTCATAGAGGCACTCAAAGCCGAGCTCACTGGCTATACTTACAAATCCGTTGATAAATTCTGGGAGGTGAATTTCGAAAGTAAATGCTGGTACGGCCTAACTTCTCAAATTTGGGAAAGATATTGCGATGAAGGTCAATGTGGAAATAGTCATGTCTTCAGCGAAAACATGGACGAAAAAGCAATGATAAGATGGCTCAAATCTTTTTACAAGACTTATTTAAGACCATTAAAGGCCCCACAATCAAGTTTAAATGAAAATTCTTTATTTCGAACCCCTAATGGAACTTTTGTTCGTGGGAAATTTTCTTTTACATCTTGCACATCACAGTTTCTCGGCGGACGAAGTCCACGGAAGATGGATGTATTTATTGAGCATTCAGACATCCCAAAAGATTGGTTTCACAAGTGGGAGGACGTAAGGGTGATTGGCGAGGTCACTAAATCAGCAGAAAAAAAAAAAGAAAAGTTTTATCAGCTAACAATGTACGTCCGCGAAGTTTTTTATGCGCAGCCACTGCGTCGATTCGTCCATGGATTTTGCTTGCACAAGAGGCAAATATTATTGTGGATTATTGACAGGTCCGGCGCATACAGTTCTAGTGCATTCAACGTGATCGCAGACCAAGAAAAATTGGTTCGAGCTCTTTTGTCCTACATGCTAATGAGTGACGAAGAGCTTGGCCTAGACACCACAATCCGACAATACAATGGACGGTCCTTTGTCAAAATTCGAGATGGTGATTTGACTCTGGAAAGATGGGTCGAGATCAATCCGGTGCCAGTAACTCGACCGGAGGCCGTAATGGCACGAGGTAACACCTGTTATCTGACAATGGACATGATGTATTTGATCAAGTTTTCATGGGGCTCGGGCGCGATACAGTCAGAGATTGATTTTTTAAAATGCGCACGTCCGGTGTACGGCGTAGTTGATCTGGTATGGGCTGAAGAAATATATCAGGTTCAGGCCCACCGAGCAGGGCTAGACTTTTCTACTGGAAAAAGATGGGACATTGGACAAAGGAACTGGCTTTCTATTGGCGCAGGGGAGATACCAGAGGAGTATTTCAAGAAACGGAAACTTACTCTCGCCGTACTTTCACCTTACGGTCGACCATTCAAGTCTTGCACGTCGCTTTGGGAGTTCGTGAGCGGCATGCTTGATGCCATACTTGGGCATCGGAATCTATACCTTTCCAAGAATATTCTTCATGGCAATATTTCTGAAAGTAACATCATTTTGACACATCCAAATGAACATAGTTTAAGCAAAGGAAAGCTCATCGACCTAGACATGTCTATTAATGTTGCCGGGTACAATGAGACGAAGAGCTTGACAGGCACCATGAAATTTATGGCGATAAGGATTTTGAAAAACTTTGCTTTAAAAAAGAGTACAATAGTAAAGACCTACCGTCACGATCTAGAGTCATTTTTTTACGTCTTTCTTGTGGGATGTGTCTGTTACGGACGTGATACGAACTCGCATGAAAAGCACTTCGATAATTGGTGTTCAAGTATAACCATCATTAATCAAGCTTTGAAGATGGGAGACGTTTCGGAAAACTTTCAAGAGAGAATAATAGATGAATTTTCGCCGTGCTTCAACGGACTCAAAGGATTGGCTTTCGAGTTGCGTCATATCATATTCAGAAATGATTGTAATTTCTTCGACACACCTAGAGACAGTGCAGTACTATACGAACCCATAATTGCTGCATTCCTTAATACCATCGAAAAAATTAATAGTAAGTATTTCTCCCATTCATATCAAACAAATGTTCCCCTTGAACTCTAGATTTACTGACGAAATCCGTCTATTGCTATAGATGGAACCATCAGAAACGAGACGTGGATATTAAGAACATGATTAGAAAGTCAGGGGCGAACGTAATGTAGGGATTAAATTAATATCTTCAGTAACTTAGTGTGAGATACATATAGCTGATGGTGTAATTTTTATTTCGATTCTTATATATTCGAAAAAACATCAATAAAAACTTTCAGGGGATCTGGGTGGCTAACACGTCAAATCAATGCTCCTCATTGCGTGTTCAGGTCTTGACAAACTAAGAATAACTTGTTTGGTGAGTGTTATATCATTGTGTTGACTTAATTGTCCAATTACATCCCTGACGATCCTGGGGTATGGTTGAAGCCCTTCACACCAGCTACCCTTGATCACGGAGGAGAAGCCATCCGATGAGTTTCCGGATCGTACCCAGCACGCCTTACGGAGATGGTGGATTGGGTCAAGGTGGCTTCGAATGTTACAAAGAAGGGAGATATAGAAGAATATACGAACCTCTCGTGGTCCCGATGTCTAAGCCTTGTCTGGCCGGGCTGCATATTAGGGACTTATTCCTGCGCACGCAGTTTTCTTTGCTATTGTAAAACTTAGAGAGGTCTTTGTGCGAATGTCACGTGAATCGTCAAAAGGTAAAAGCGAATACAAGAATGAATTGATTAATTAACTCCGTGCTACGAGTCCATCGTAGCACTATAATATCTAGTTCGAAATATTCTCCCAGAGCCAAGTTCAGTCAAATTTCGCAATATCAAAGAAGTTGGCCCACGAGGCAAAAATTCAAATTACTCCACCATGTCAATCTTTCACTCCCAAAGAGTCCGATTCTCAACTAAGCTTCATCAAGTCTACAAGTACGACCTAGTACATCCTCACCCCAATGACCATACCTCTCGTCGACTTTCTCTGGCCTCAGCCGGTCACCAAATACACGCCCACGTCGATATTTATACCCGACGGAGGAAGCAAAGCGTGGAGCACAAATCTGGGAGATAGCTCTTTGGGATGGACGTGAGAGGGACCAGGACAAGTTCACAAGATGATGCAGAAGAGGGATACGTTTTCGACGGGCGTGGAATTTTGAATTTTGGCAAGAGTTTTACGGATTGAGCTTTGTGCGCGCCAAGACTTCGCTTGCGAGAGTGCAGCTGACACTATAAAAACAAGCAAACGATGGTAGGTGTTGTGGTCCGCCTCCTGGTGATGTTCTCTGGTATAGTCTGAGTAGCCTGGGCACCTACTCCACTTGGGAAGGAGACATCTCAGATTACATTTCGCGCGGAGAAAAGTTGATGGATGACGGAGGCATGTCTGGATAACTCAGGGTTTTTGAGACGTTCCCCTGGGTGGGTATTCACGGATGAGGGTTGACTTGGGGTGAAGAAAAAGCCACCATAACTTCGCAGTGGTACTTGCAAATGAAATCCGAGGCATGAGTGCTCCTCTTGTAAATTGAGTCATCTTTTCTGTACTTTTCTTTGATATTGTGTCATAGCTAGATCTCTGCATACGCAATTAAAATCTGATGCAAAAAAAAAAAATAAAAAAAAAAAAATCTAGTTCTACCCTATTGATGCCCCTGATCATCATTACTAGTCTGACATGCCTGCACGCAGATCGTGCTTTCGCTTTTGGACTGGATCCAGACTTATGCAAGCACAAGTCTGCTTACACGCCCTCTCAGTCCTAAAGCGAAGATCCGTCCATAAATCCTAGTTACTCAGGTGAGTGTCAGAATGAATCTTCATTGGAGTCATCTTCTTCAGTCCGACTACAACCCGCAGTCAGTACTATAGCTCTATGCTTGTCCGGTCTCACGTTTGATTCGCGTTCCTTCTTCGACGCCAATTTCGATGTCCATTTCGATTTTCCAAGACGCCCTCTATCCTTCATGGCTTTTCGGGATACGGCCTTACAGGTTCCTTGGGATGAACAGCCTTGGGTTTTCTGGCTGCGAGCCATTGTCCACTAGCGTCTTTCGTTCTCTTTAATCCCCTCGAAAGACAAAACTATATCAATTTTACGCAGAGCTATTCCTATCTTCTTACCCAAATCCGGCGAAGCGTTTGAATCTATCATCTGCTGACTTCCACAGGGCCATGAAATGGTGCGCTTGAGCCGACCACGCCCTCTTGTCGACATTTGCTGCGGCTTATTGTCTGGACCATAGCCAACTCTCTCACGCTCTATCACTTCGGGTGATACAAGAGAATCTAGAACTTCAGGTATAGAAACGTCGCTAACGAATTTCGCGCGATCAGTTCCGTTTCCAGTCAGGATTTGATATTCCGGAGGCTTCAGCTCAGCACATATGCCCGGCTTAGAATATTTCCGACGATGATTTGCATCTAAATTGGCATCATTGACCGTGAGCTGGAAGTTTGCGACCCTTGTATCTCCTGAACCACTGAGAATCTGCCGGCAACATTCGATAGACATTTCTGGTGCTCCTGACTCCGGCGGTTCTTTATCAACCACCACCTCACCACGACGATGCGCCATCTCGTTGTCGTAAAACGAGACCATGTCTTCGTAGACCTGTGGGCCTACCTTAGCAGCAAAGCTACTCCCAACAAATTCTTTAGGAATCTGGCAGTATTCCTGGGCAATTGCAGCCGGTGGACCTATTTCATTTGCTGTTTGTCCATATGTTGTATAGGAACTGTATGCTTCAATTTTCTTTCTCATGGGACAATTTTTGGCAATGTGCCCTTCTTCTTTGCACTTATAGCAACGAATGAAAGATTTCTTCCAAGGATTGTCTTCATTCGTCTTTCTCCCAGACTTTTCTCGATCACTCAAGCTTTCCCTGTATTGAATGTTGTGGTAATTTTTCTTTGACTCAGTCCTCTTGGGCTTATCCACTTTGATTGATTCTCCGATCCTGTCATAGTGATGAGAGATAAAATCTTGAATGAGGCTCTCCACCGACCAGTTTTGAAAGCGTGCTATTGTAGAAACCATGGCGTTCCATCCTCCAGCTTCTTCTTTGGTCGATTGCTTAAAGATTATTAAGATTTGCCTTTCATCCAAAGTCCCACCCGTGGACATGTAGTCCCTAACCACTGTCTTGAACTTCGTGATATACTCTACTGGACACCCTCCTGTATACTTGAGAGCGATGAGGTTTACCCAAATGACTTCTTGTTGTATTTCGCCAACTCGCCGATAGGTTCGTTCAAACAACCTCATCATTTCTGTGTCTCGTTTCATACCTATAACTAGGCTCCTAGTTTCTGCAGTTGTAGTTCGCTGAATAACAGCGGCGAGTCTCACCTCGTCCAGCGGTGTCAATTTCATACCGGCTTCGTACCCGATGCATTCTAGTTGCAATAACACTGTCTCTCGGTACATAGACCAATTTCCAATTCCTCTTAGGAAATCCGACTGGGGTGGTTTCCAGTCAAAAAGATTCCATTCCAGCAAGGTTTTGCTTCCATTCCTTGATGCTGTAACGGCAGGCCTGTCCCATCCTGCACCTGCATCTTCGTCATTTGGTGAGTCTCTGTATTCACCATATCGATCCGACGGCCTTGAAAATGCAGCTTGCCCTGAAATCTTTTCGCAACATTCATCTTCGTCCCGATCCTTTCTTTCGGTGGATCGTTTATCTGAACTTTTTGTTCTTGGTGCAGACATCAGACATTTGCTATAACTTTCGTTCGATGCCAAGTCGAACTCATTGCTAAAGTTGCCCGTCACACGACCAGAGCGACCAGCAACACTTTTACCCGACCGCTTCTTTTCCACAGCAGCCTCATTCAAATCGGTGCCTTGAGCAGCGATTTCTCGATCCGCCTTCGATAATCCAAAGGCCGACATTTCTGTGATAGCATGAGGGTCAGGAAAGACTCTGACTAAAAGGCAAAACAATAATATGATTGTAATCTATGAGGAGAGAAAGACATGGTGGCTAACGCAATACTATATACACATAAAAGTGGTTCCTCACTGGTCCAAGCGTACATTGTAGCACGTGATTAGTGTCCTATGACATTACTTTCCTCCCCCGGTTTCATTTATTTGTTTTTCTTTTTCGCATAGTTCGATTTCTTAATGTTCGACCTGTAAACATCCCTAACTGAAGACCAACTTTGTCGCCATCCCCGTACTGCTTGACAAATTCTTTGTAGGCATCTGTTAACTTAAGATTTTGTCGAGGCTCCCATGTGGGTTCAGCAAACCCTTTCCAGAATACCAGGACTTTGCGACGCCCATTGATTGTTTCAGCGCGAACTATTTTCTCAACAGCATACAACGGATGTTTTCCATCAACTAACGGGGGCGGCTGTGTGTCATCGACTTTTTGTGAAGGCAGTGGATCATTTGGGTCATGCCTTAATAAGTCTACAAAAAATCGATTATGTATGCCTGTTGGTACATCTAGTTGATACACATCAGGTGCAATTTCTTTTTGTATTCTGTATTTTGCTTGAGTCCATGAGAGTTTCTTTTTTTGTTGCGGGGTTTCGACGTTTTTAAGGTTTAGCCAGACGGTATCGCCCGGTTTGAAACGTTCCGCTGGTCTCCTATGATGGTTGGCTGATTCTTCCATTAATTGCTGTGCTGTTGTCATAGCTGCCTGTGCCATGCTTTGACCCTGTATTATTCGGTCTACGAATGCTCGCGCGCGGGCTTGCGGTGATTTTGTTGCTCGTGAATTAGTATGTGTTTGTTGTATTGGTTCAGCATCATAGCCGTGAGTAACAAAAAATGGGCTAGTGCCAATAACTGTCGATTTTCTATTATTGAGTGCTAACATGGCAGTTGGGAGTAGTTTAGACCAGTCTATCTGCGAGTAGCTAATAAATGCTCGGAGGTAGTTTAACACTTCTTGGTTCATCCTTTCTGTACTACCATCGGTCTGCGGATGGTAAGCGGTCGACAATCTTTGGTTAATACCTGTCATTTTGCATAAAGAAGTCCAGAAATGACCCACCCAATTTGCCCCTCTGTCTGATGTTATAAATTTAGGAAACCCATGAAAACGA